AAGATCTTACAGCTTTTTGTCCGGTCTTGAAGTGCCCCTATTTATTTAAGTAAAGTAGACATACTCCAAGCCTTTCTGTATGTCTGGAAATAAAAGTTTTAAAAAAAAAAAAAAACAAACTTTTTTTAATTTTATTTTTTTTTTATTATTTTTCCTCCCTTCTTCTTCCTCCCTTTTCTCCTTTTGGGTTTTTGTAATACTTGTAGATTTTGCTGCGTGTGTTATTTGGTTTGTGAAGGCAGTGGTGTAAGGGCACAATGATAGAAATGGGTGTTTTTTGTAAATATTTCTCCTTAATTTCCACACTGCTGCTGAACAGTGTGTAGCATTCTCCCAGTCAGCTTTGCAATACTGACATCAATCATTTGAGAGAAATTATTCAGATTTTATTTTTGTATCTGTGGTAACAAAACATTAACCAATTTTTTTTCTGTTGTGGAAAAATTTTTTCAAGCTATTGCTCACATTAACAAATTAAAGTGCCTGAAGCCTCATCATTATTGTATCTATATACTAAAAGTTAAAACCCTGTTGTATTGATTTTTATAAGCCTTTTTACCTCTGTGTAAAAAAATATATATACAAGTGTATGATGTACATTTTAGTTCTTAACTTCTTTTTTTATTGTTTCTAATATGTATGATCAATGTAGCTATTGCTTTAAAATGTACCATGTAAATACAAATACATCATATCAAAATGATGCCGTTTATGGGTTTTGCCTGGCTGGAAAACAAGGTGAAAATCAAACCATGCTGGTAAATACAGGGGAAATTACCAGAGCCACCCTTCCAAGACCTCAGAGTCTCTGAGGGAAAAAAAATGGAGTTAGTTTTCATTTTGAGGTTGTAAATGCTGTGAGCATCAGACACAGGCTGTACTTGCCCAAATGCAGCAGGGAATGAGGGAGTGGGTGTTTTTTTTTAAGTGGTTTTGGGTGTTAATTCAGGTGTTTTGCATGTTTTGGGGGCGCACCTCAATGAGTAGGCCCGGCCTGGTGGCTCTGCCTTCCAGAAGGCCATTGTGGCCATGACTGGGCCTGGGCCTGGGCTGGCACCCTCAGGTGTCACCATCACCCTCTGGGCCTCCACCCCCCACAGCCTCCCACCCCACAGAGGCCTTAAAATATACTTTTTTTTCCCTATTTTAGCCACTATGATGGGAAACAGGGCTGGTGCTGAGGGCCAGCACATCGATGTCCTCCTCATGCCGCCACAAAACCACCCCACTACTTGGAGTAGTCCCAGCACCATGAGGGAAAAGGAGGGTAGGGGGAAAGCAGAAGAAGAAAAAAGCTGGGAGCTGTGGTATTTTTCTGGCATTTTTCCTCTTTCTTTGTACCACTTGCCCCCTACACTGTCCCAGGGGTGAGGGAAGGGGCTGTAACACCAAGTTAGCCTTGTGGGCACCCAAATCTGTCTGCAAAGCAGTCCGCATGGCTGGGCATTTCATCAGGCTCTGGAGAGCCCTGGAGGGAAAGAGAAGCTCGGCTCATGTCGCAGGTAGCCATGGGGACACGTGGCTCCCGAAAAGGTCATCACTGAAGAGGACACCTTGCTTTTTGAGGGTCCATGGTGCAGGTTTGCAAGGCCTGCCAGGACACTACTTGGAGAGACACATGGGCAGCTCCACCTGCTGGCACTGCAGTCAGCGTCCGAGGGGTTTAAAATGGAAGATGGAAGAGGAATAAGCCAGCTAAAAAGGCCAGAGGACACCAGGCTGCAGCTGATCAACTCAGAAACCAGCGAAAACCAGTAAGTATATCTGATTTTTCTACAAATATTTCCATTAATCCAACAGGAGACCCAGCACTCGGTGCGAATTTCCAGTCACATAAATAACTGGTGGTTTAATTTGTCACAGCTTTGCTGAGATCGAGTCCATTTCTGCTTTGTCTTTACATATTTCTATAGATCTTACATATCTCACATAAATATATGCGTATTATAAGAATGTGTATTTGCTGTAAACATTTTTACAAAACAAGTTTTAGCAGTCCGCCCAGGCTTTGCGGCCCTCCTGAGAAACGCTGCGGTGTGGGCCTGCTGCTTGGCACAAGAGGACCCTCATGGTTCACAAAATCCTGCAGTCTGCTGCGGAAAGCTGAAGGCAAAGCAACTCTGATGGCCTGGTCTTGACTAATGATGGCAGAAAGACTTTTAGCTCTGTTTCCTGGCATTTCATGTACAGCTTGTCCTGCAGAAGGCCTGGTTGAGCCTCGTTTGTACCTGGTTGTGGCCTGCAATGTCTCTTCTCATGCTTGTCTGAAAACCAAAGGGGTCACTTCTGCCTGGGGATTTCTAAACTGAACCAGTAAACAGTACATTTGGACCCTGCAGATTTCAACAAGATACAAAGTGATATGGAAGGAAACCAAACTTCTGCATCCAGGTTTACTCACGCTCTGCATCTGTGATGGGAATTGGCCTCTTGGCTGGAGGCAATCAAGGAGAGGATACAGACCAGCAAGCTTGCAACCACAGGAAACAAATCTGAATATTTTATGACTTTAAAAGAATACCATTTAGCGACAAATTACATTTTAGAATAATCTTTCACCCAGGGTAAGTTTTAGGCACTGCCAAATGTGGTTTGGCATTTCAGAGCAAAGTGGCTTCACACCAACTTGCCACCAAATGTCCTGCTACCATTGCCCAGGTCAGAACAGACCTCCCAGCCTCTCCTTTCCCTTGGTGGCAGCAGGAGTGGAGCAGACCCAGTTTAACCCCCAAGAAACCTTTCTCCTGGGAGGCATTCTTGGTCTCAGACAAATGTTACAGCATTCACACCAGTGTGAACTTGTAGCCTGTGAACCTGAAGAAAGAGAGAGGACACAGAGAGGGTTTTCTTGGTTGTGCTCACTCAGGAAACCTGAATATATCTGTGACAAGCTGCTCCTCATAAAAGCAGTACCAGGTTGGGAAGGATGCCCAGCTTAACAGTAGCAGGTCAGAGGGGATGGATGGGGGAATGGAGGGCAGCGGGGAGGGTTAACCAGTATGGGTCTCTCAGGCTACAACAACTTTGTTTTTCTGTAAACCACAATGTTAACCCTGTCAAGTGTGTCCCAGGAGTGACTGTATCTGCCTTGCTTTGCCCTCAGAAGCAGAATTTTTGCATAAGAAGGGCTCACTCAGTAATATTTTTTAATTTATTTTGCTCAGAGCACTGTGATCTAAATCAGACAAACTTATTTAAACCTGTTGTGAAAATGAGTAAGGTTGGAATGACTTGCATAATGTCACATGGGGAGCTGCTGGCCTGGAGCAGGAGTATCCTAAGCAAAAGTCCATGGTCTTCATCTGAAAGGTCATCTCTCCTGTCACTCTCTCTGAAGATTAACTGGGAGGTTTTGGCTTCTGCAGGAGCCTGTCTGCAAGGAGTTCAAACTAAACAGTCCCCATCAGCAAGGAATGTGTAAATCTCCTTCCTCCGCTAATTCCACTTAGAAATGCAAATTGGAAGTAGCTGTCAGGAGGGCTGGAAACAAGAGGTATCATTGCATGTATTCCTAATGCTTATCACAGACAGAACTTGGCTTCTGGTAAGGACCAAATGCAGCCTCTTCACATGTCACTGAGAGAGCTTGCAGCACAAGCAACCGGAAATGCTTTAGTTTCTTCAGCACATCGTGCTCGATGATTTAACATCCTCCTAACACCTTGTCCTTTTCCAGGATGTTCAGCCTTCTGGTATTTTCCTAACATGTTGAATTAGGGGATTAAATCCCTTCGTATCTTGGTGGCATAAGTGGAAATAAATAGAAAAATGCTTGGCTTCCACCCAGAGACGAGATATTTAAATGATGGAAAGTATGTGTGTATTTTTGGGGTGGCGTACTTAGATCTCTACAAATATTTTCAGTTGCTTCCCTGCACTCATGCACAACCATCCCATGCCATTCATCTCATTCCCCCATTCCCCACTTGTAAATTCATTTGGGAAGAGTTGACAGACTTCGGTTTGGCTTCTGTGAGATTTCAAGCCTGCTGCCTAATGTCGTGTGAGACAGCATCTCCCAGCAGCGCGCTGTGTGGCTGTAAAGAGAAAGGTTTTGAAGGGCTGTAACACGCCCTGTCTCTCTGCGTGTGCAATCCCATTTCCGTGCGCTGCTGTGTACTTCGAGGTGGCAAAGAAAGTACAAAGTCATACCCAGGCAATATAATTCATCTAATGACCCGGGGAGTCACTGATGTTAAGAACACGTATCATTGCATGGAGGAGCTGGAATTAATGCATGTTTTGGGACGGCTGAGAAATTAGCAAGTCATACGCAGCCTGAAGCTTAATGCTTGTATAGAATTCTTAATTATTCTTAATTATAAAGAGAGCACGATATGAACTGACATTTCTTTTTCGCATTTTCTAAGGTTATGTCACGATGAGCTGTGGAATTGGCCAACATCTGCTTTAAGGGAACTGACAAGACTAGCAGCAGGCTTACTGCTTTAAGCAAGCATCTCTCTGATTTTCACACACTCAACTTCTCTGCTTCATCACTGTGCTAATACAAGGTTATTGACTGTTTCAGGTCTTGATGTAAAATTTCAATTTTATGAGAAGGGAACAGATACGGAGAACTTGTTATTGTGAACTGTGAGATCTTTGGTCTTCAACTATCAAGTCTGATAGTTTCCCAAACACACTCTGGCTTAGAATCTGAGATTTCCTGCGTTCAGATTGTGTTTAGCTCCAACCTGATTCAGGAACTAAAAGCTCAGACACTTCTAAAATTTGAAGCATTTATGTCCTTGTGCCCTTGAGAGCCATTTCCAACCTTAAAAGCCCGGTTCTAGAACTACTGAACTCAAGTGATTTCACTTTAAAAGTGCTTACTTTTTACAGCTTCCTGAGAACAATGATAAAAGCCAGGTTAGAAAGTATAACTTCCAACCACATTTTGCAGACATTCTGGCCAAAACTTAAAACAGAACATTTTTATGTGTACAGCCAAAAGAAGAAGCACTCTGCTGTTCTTTTTTTTTTTTTTTTTTTTTTTTTTTTTTTTTTTTCTTGTGTCTAAACAGTGCAAAATTCAAATCCCAATAAATTTGTAGCAGAAAACCCCGAGTAGCTAAACCAGACAGAGTAGAGGCTAGGACTGAATGGAGATGCTGGATACATGGTTCAATCCAGATATGAAATAGAAGGAGAAATACAAACCACTTTTTTTTTTTTGAAGGGTATGCAGTGGTGCATTGGTATGGGGCCGATGCTGGAGCTGAGGTACCCCCCGTGGTTTCCACCTGGTGGTCTGTGCTTCTGAGAGGAGCATTCAGAGCCACGCCACGGCTCAGGCTGCCAGGCAGGAAACGTGTGTACACATCCACACACGTGTGTGTTTGTGTACCCTCTGGGAGCAGAAATCTGAAATTACCAACGTGAGCTCCAAAGTGATAGTTACTCATTAAATAAACAAATAAGCAGGTAAAACTCCAGCCGTGTGGCTGACCCCGGTGGCTTGGCAACAATGAATGGGGTTTTCAGTGCAGTGGCCCCAAGTATTGGGTATCGCTGCAGGATTTCTCTGTTCGCTTGGTGAATAGCCTTCAGTGAACTCCTCATCTCGGGGAAAACCCCAGAACCCCATTAAGTGGTTCAGCCAGCCACAGACATGGGAAGCCTTCCAAAGGAGAGACAGAAATAGCTGTAGGATGAAGCAAAGGGATGTTTTCTGCTCAGAGGAGTTTCTTTTTGCCGTGCCATTTGCCGCAGGGCTGAGACACAGTTGTGCTTCCACGCATGGCCAAAAGCACCACGGGCCTGAGAGCAAAGTCCTGGGGGTGGGCAAAGTCCTCACACTTATCCCTGTCTTCGCAGAGAGCTCTGAAGGGCTGTGACGTGCTGGGGAGGTAGCAAGAAATGTCAGATTTAATTTAAAAGCACACATCTCAGATGCAATGCTGCTTTTGTGCTTCCCTAGACTTGGAACAAATGGACTCCTTCCAGCCTCAGGTAGAGAAGACTGGGGAGAGAACAGCCCATCCGATGCCAGGAGATTCCGTTCTGCAGTTCCCCGGGGTAAAATCCTGGCTCCGCTTAAGTCAGTGGCAAAAAAAACCTTGCACTTAAGTGGAGCCAGAATTTGTCTCCTGGGATTTGCAGGATTTAGCTGGCAATATCTCAAGGTCTGGCACCCAAAATACCTCCCTCCCTGGTGACTCCCTGAGGCAAACTTTCTGCAGTCTTCTCCTTCCCCCAGTCCCCCAAGGAAGACTCTGTGCAGTGACAGCTTTAGCCCGTAAGAAGGGATTTATTATCCTTTACAGTGCACCAGCTCCCCAAACCTGCCTTTAAAGAGCTTTGTTTGAAATAGGAGCCATGCTCTGCTCCTGCACAGTCACGAGTGGGTGAGTGAGGAGCCAGAGCATCCTGCTGGCAGCTGAGGACATGCCGTTTCCTCCTTTTCCCGGGGGAAAGGACACACGGGTTAACCCCAGCCAGCTGAAAGTGTGCCAGGGGTTAGTGGGAGAGGAATGGGCCTTGGGTGCCCCCGCTTCCACCAGCCCGGCTGAGAAGACATTTCATGTGGAAGCTGTTCCTTGGGGTATCTCTAGTGACAGGTAAAGACGTGCCTCCTGCGGACTGCTCGTCCCAGCCTGAGAAATGCCACAGCAGAAAGCCCCCAGCATCGCTGGTTCCAACCTCAGCTCGTTACCTTTTTTCCTGTGACCAATGGCCAGGGCGTTTCGTTCACTTGGATCTTCACAAACTAGCTTGGAAAAGAAAAAGAAAAGCATCTAGAAAAAGCAAGCAGATTTGCCTTTCAAACTAACAAATTGGCAGGGACATTCCCGCAGCCACGTTTCACTCATTTTTGACAGCTTACTGGGTTTCAAGCTGGCAGCGATTCTTTCCGATATTAGCTTGGAATTACAAAGATTAAAAGGCTGAAAGAGTGCCTATGTAATAACATACAAGAGAAAAAGGTCCTGTAACAAAGAGGCGTCCCTGGAAGGACTGTGTTTTCAAACCCACTCACATACATAACATTTTAAGAGCTGTCACCATCAGAGCTCATTTTATGGCCAGTTCCTGAAGGAAGTGGTTGTAAAGATGTGGCATGAAGAGCAGAAAACCCAGGTGCTGAGCAGAGAGCTTTTGAACTCACAGCAAATGCGTGATACTTTTTTCTAACCAGAACAACTGCTGTTTGTGACCATCTGAACTTTGAGCTACAAGAAAATGTCTTTGGGGTTCGTCAGGCTGATATCCTGTCTCTAACCACAGCCTGTACCAGATACTTCAAAGGCAGAGAATACAAGAAACTCTGTATTGAAATCATCTGCTAGCAGAGGAAATTTCTTCCCAACATCAGACAGTTTGTCATTGATTTATCCCCTCGAACAGGAAAGTTTATATGCCTCTTTGAAAAAAAAAATCAACTGAATGGAAGAGTGATGTGAGTTTATTCATCAAGCCTAGCAGATTTTTATTTGAAATGTATTTGATTTTTCTAAAATACTGTAACAGCCCTTCTACTGTTTTCTCTGGGGATTGCTGTAGTGCTGAGTTGATAGTTTGTTTGTTTTTTTCCCAGCTTGTTTTTCATGCAGATAGCCTGGCAAATGTGACGCTGCTCAGGAGCTGCGGCCCTGCAGCAGCCATTTTGCGGATGGCGGTGTCTCCTCCTCCAAAACCTCCTCTTGGCAGGGGTTTTTAATCCCCCCTTCCGAATCGTTGAACCTCGGGTTTCTTACTGCTGAGATGGCATTGTGCTCTTACTGTTGGACAGGTTCTCCCAAGCCTCCTGTGTGTCAAGAGACACAGAACAGATTGAGGATGTGACGTGGGTAGTGAAAAGAAAGCAAATTTATTGTTGTCTTTATTTGTCAGACTGCTGACACTGCACGGGATGTCTAATATTTGTTTTCTGGGACTGGGTAATTTCAAATTGTAGCCGTGAATGTAATCTAGGATAAACTGGGTGTCTAAGCTGAAGGTGTAAAGTCCATATTTAGGCTCCTAAGGTAAAGTGACTTTGTTCTGAGAGGTGCTGAATGTCTGCCCTTCTTCCTGAAGCACGCAACATTTCCTAGATGGTTGGGTGTAAAATATCGGCTCCACTGTGGTCAATGGCAGATTTTCCACTGGCTTCAGTAAATATTTAACCAGCTCTGAAATACCGAGTTAGGAGACTAATTATTGGCAGCTGCTTTTGTGAGAGCCTGCCTAATACCTAGAGCAATACCAACAGACCTCGTTGTGTTTGTCTGAGTTTTGTGCAAAGCCCTGCTGTGTGTTTTCCCATCTCTGGTGAAGAAATACAAAAAAATTTTGCGGCCTGAGTTGCCCTCAGAGTCTATTCGAGTGGCACCTTTTTGGCCTTAGTCACGAGCCAAACACACACGTCAGCCTAATTGCAGAAACTTAGGGGATTTGATGCAGAAACTCCTCAGCTGATGTTCAGAGCCCAGTTTGAGACTTCCAATTTGTTTAGCTGGCTCTAGCAGGAGCTGTGGATGAGCAGCGTCTCTGGAAGCAGGCGGTGGATAGCTGAAGCCAGCAGGTATGGGGTTTTACGACGTGGGTCCTTGGGCTCTGCGCCTCATTGAATTTAATCACAGCTTGGAGTAAAAAGATGCACGCAGGTTCAACGCTGGCTTGGTTTCTAAAGGATTTGTGTTTGCACAATCAATCTTCTGCTCGTCCTGCCCCTGTAATGGTTCTTGAACCTCATGGATGGTGAAAACCAAACTGAAGTCCTGGAGAAATTAATTTCCTTTGGGCTTCATGAAAAATATCAGCTGGGTAAAACAGAGAGCTGTGAGCCCTCTTGCTGAAGCAAAGCAAAGCGTGAGCTCATCCCCGATTAGACACCAGGAAACCAGTGTGGGACAAGACCTGTCATGAATGCCCTACCTGGGGGTGAGCTCTTGGCTGGCAGCTGTGCTTTACTGGGCTCTGAAAATCCCCTCCACGAGAGCAGCTTCAGGTTTACACCACACATCTCCCCCAAACAGCCAGACACATCCTTTGGAAACCAAGCTTTGGTGTTTTCATCGCTCGTGGAATACTTGTTTTAACATATCCCAGCGATATCGTGGAGGGAAGTGACATGTTTTCCCAACCAGGGCAAAGAAATGTGTCAAGTAATGCCCTGAGTTGTTGGGTTTTTATATATTTTTTTTAGTCTGGCTCTAGCTGCTAAAGGGTCTGCTTCACAATTTGTTAATTCAGCTGAGAGTGTTGGCTGCATCTCCGCAGTGCTGTAGGTGGATGATTTGCTTCTTGCTTGTTGCCAGCTTGAAGTCTGCTTCCACCTTTTTTCTTTCTCCCCTCGCGCTCCCGTGCATCAATCCGGCTATCTTTCCATCGCTGAAATTAAATTATCGTAGTCAATGATTACAAGAGATTTCCTTAGGCTTCTGCTTGCATGATGAGAGAGATTCCTGAGCTCCAGAAAGGCTTAAAACCTCCGAGTCCTGCTAATAATAACAACCCGAAGGGAATAGCCCCGCTGACTATGTAGGCCAGACTTAACAAATTACTGCACGCAGATAACGACACAGCCCGTGGAGCCTCCTAAATCTGATCACATGCGAAGAGAGCCACTGGCTACAGCAGGGCTGCTTGGCTTCGCAACTACACAGCGCAGAGCTGCCCACGTTTAGACACTCCGGCATCTCCAGAAAGCCACCCGAGACAGACAGCACGAGCCATTTCCGAAGAAATGAACACCTTTCCCTGCTGGTACCTACCCCCAAACCCCATTCTGGGCTGCACTGGTGCCAGGAGGAGCTGGCTGAGACACGGAGCAGCTGCTTGGCCAAAGGCAACGGTGCTCCTCCTGCATCCACCTTTCAGAGAGGAGCTCACAGAGAGGTTTTTACCAGGGAGGTTTCGGTGCCATGCCCCTCTGTAGCGTTCGAGCTCGTGTGAGCTGCATTTTGCACAGCAGCTCTTAAAAAAAAAGTGGGCCTCCAAATGTCAGAGGGAGCCCCCTTTCATGTCGGAGATGAAAGCCGCGTTGTCTTGGCTCAATTCCAGCATCTGTCCCTGTGTGTTCGAGCGGATGATGGAGGTTTTCTGGCCACGGCTCCAGAGCCGGGTGCCCTTTTACAGCCGACGAAGCCGAGTCGATGTGCCTGGATGTCGCTGCGGGCTCGAGGTGGGCACGAGGGGTTACAGTGAGCTGCTCACGGGTGGCTGCCCGAGTGCGTGTGCGAACCCACAGCTCACCCAGCTGGACGAGGAGGGCACGAGAGGGGCACCCTTCCTTTTTTGCCCCTTCTGCCTCGTCTGGCTTGATGGTAAGGTCTTGCAGGCGGCGCTTGTTACCACATGGTTGCACATTGTCTACAGGGATGGGGACCCAGGTCCCAGCGGTACGTAACAGCCTTCAACAGCTACTTTGGCGTTCATAAAATACGGCCGGCAGAGCAATCTGAGTCATCTATCAAACAACCCGCAGCTCCACCCGCGTGCAGCTCCTCCAGATGAGTCCTGAGGCTAATTAAAAGAATGCAAAGAACGGTGGGCTCCGGGTGACTCGGGCTGAGGGCTGAAGACTGCTGCATCCTCACGAGCTCTTTCTCCGCGCTGGGTTTTCGCACGGGTCCTGGCCGGTCCCCGAAAGAGCAGCTTCCTAGGCCCTGCCAAACTGCAGGTTTAAATATTCATTGCATTCTTCACATGCCAAATCATCGAAGTTGGAAAGCAGGAGCCTAAGATTTTGCAAAGCTGCTTTTGCACATAAAGGCCATTAAAAATTCATCAGGGCAGGGAAAAAACAACAGCGCTGCCAGTAGTAGGGAACTTTATGTTGACTTGGCTAATGCTGTGTGGGGCTAAGTTGGAGCTAACCCGCATTAATCCACTTAAATGGAAGGGTGAGCCTGATCCAGTAAAAGCAATAAATCCTCTTTAGAGCTGACCAGACGATAGGAGAACGGGGCTGAATGGCAAAGAGTTGGCAGGAGGTAACTGGATGGAGCCTGAATTTCCAATGTGCCAGGTGATTTAACTCACGGCATCCCTTGTCCCCCATCTCCCAGGACCAGATCTCAGCACTTTTAACCCCCGAGGTGTGATGATAGACCACGGGGTTGGCAAGCTCCGGGCTGAAACAGAGCAGGAAAGCTTCGAGCAGCTTCGAGCAGGTACCAGAAATCCCTGTGGCAGCTCAAGTGAGATGCGATGGACAGACAGACACTGCCTGGGGCTGGGGGCTCTGCCTTGCCTCGGGGGCAGCCTGCAGCCATCAGAGAAAGGCCAGGTGCTGCCTTGCTACAGGTAAGGGTCCATCTAACTGGGTTTGCTGTTTAACCCCATGTCTTAATTACATCTGAGGCCGGACTGGCCGGGGAGCAGGCAGACCTGCACGCCAAGGAAGTGGCTGCCACTATCGGAGAGCAATTTTCTCAAGGCTGACCCAAGGCACGGAACTGAATCCAGGCTGGGTGAATATCTCTGTTTCCTTATTCCTCTGAGAATCCGGGCCTGAATTTAAAAGGCTGTTTAACACTTTGAAGCCACCCACAGCTCTGTCTTTGCCTCCCACACAAACTCCAAGGAACTGACTCATTCCCACCGTATTTTCAGCTGCGCGTAGATCCTGCTCTCAGCCAAGGAAGATCCTCGCTCAGCCGAGCGAATCGAGCGCACATTGTGGCTTCAGCGAGCTGGTCTTGAAAGGGTTTCTCCTCGCCGACTAGCAGTCGACAGTATCTGAAGACATCTGGCCTGCCTTTTAAAGGAGAGTAGGAACCGTGATCCGTAGTTAGCTGCCTAATTTATGCCTCGTCTGCTGCTCTCTACTCAGGATGCTTCCTTATGTTGACTGTTAAATAGCTGCCTGTGAAAAAAGCGATGCTGGCAGCCGCTGTGAAGTGGGAAGAGGCCTGCTCCGTGAGCATGCACCCTCCTTCCTCCCCTTCCCCGTGGCAAACACACTGCCCCTCTCCCTGCAGTGCTCCAGCAGCGTGAGCGATACCTGCAGCGCTCCGAGGTGCCCAGCACAGAAAACTCAACAAGCCTTTCTGCAAGGGGAGACGCGGGGCTGTCCCCCTGCCCGTCTGGGGAGCTGAAATGCTCTTTCCGAGGTTCTAGCTCGCTAATTCTGCCGCCGCTGAGGAAAACAGCTCGCTTCTTGCTGACATCACGCTGTCCCCCCGCTATGCCTTAGCCACTGCGAGGCTTTAGAGCTTCATGCTCTGCCTGAACAATTACACCCACGTTTTGGCTGGGAAACAGAGACAAACGGAGGCAGTTCGAAGTAGGACATGGGAGGCCTGCCTCCCATTTCCCCGTGCTCCACGCCAGGCTCCTTACTGCCGCCTTCTCCCCTGCCTGGTAGGAAAACTCCAGCAAAAGCCTGGTGGGGTCACCACCCTCTGCTTTTTCCCTGGAAAATCTCCAGGCTGTTTGGACTCTGGAGCACTTCTGCATGCCGTGAGGCCACAGCACGGTCTTCACAGATTAATCTTTGCAGGTTTTTGAGCATAATCCTGGTCACTACTCTGTTCCAGAAGCTGGAGGGAAACCCCCCCTCCAGTACAATGAGATGCCAACAAACTCCAAGAAGAAGCAGGGAGAGGTCAAAAGCCATGCTCCATGTTCATCTTGTTGCATTTGGCTTCCTTCAAGCTGAGTGTTTGCCCCCCTCTGCAAAAACCTGGGGCAGAAGCTTGGCTCCTGCCTGCGCTATGAGCTAGCGCGGTCAGGAATTTACCTCTGTCACCAGCTGGGAACTGAATAATGCAAAACCCGACTCCTCCATCCCCCTGGCACCGGGCTGACTTCCATCAGCTTCCGAGGAGCTTTTCGGAGTGCAGAGTCCTGACCCGCTCGCAGTGGCCAGCATTAGCTGAGACATGAATAAACAATAAAGGAGATAAAGGAGAGGCCAGGCTGGAAGCAACAGCTGTTTCCTATGGACTCCTGAATAAATTCAGGCTCCCCTGGCTGAGGGGCTGGGCTTTTGTCCTCGTGCAAAGGAATGAAGTGCGCTGAGGGTTTCGTGCTGGTGTCGCAGGGAGGTTTTTGTTTAGCATTAAACAGGAAGGGGCAGCTCCGAAAGTTTTAAGAAGGAAAAAAAAATGTTTTAAAAAAGCATTCATTGCAGGTAGGCCCAAAGCTTCCAGCTCTATCTTGCTCCAGCTGCGACTCCAGGAGCAGAATTACGCCGCAGACTTGCCTTGTGTCAGTGATATATGGCAAAGAGCAAAGTCCCTGGCCCACGATAGCCTTTTGCTGCCCGCAGATGTGCTCTTCCATGGAGCACTTGGGAAGCCCGCTGCGACATTACACAAACCACTCAGCGTCTCTAACGCCGATTTCAGAAGTTCCCTTCCCTGTGTAACTAAGCAAAAGGTTTGGCTTGGGCCTGGCAGAGAAACTGTTGCTATAATGAGTGTCTAAAGCCAGGCTTGAGGGAATGACTCTGTCAGCAAAGCACGAGCCTCTGCTCTGCTCTACCCCCGGGAGCGCACGGCAAGGCTCAGGGCTTCGGTCATTTCCAGCAGCAGAGCAGGGAGGAGAGCCTGGCCGGGAGAGATGGATTTTCCTGGTACTTCTCTTGTGCAAGCTCATTCCGTTTGTGTGGAAATCAAGTGTTTTTCTTGTACAGGGAGATAGGGCCTTCGCTTATCTCAACGGTACTGTAAGAGGAAATTCTAACATCATGATCTGGGAACCAGATAAATGCAATCTGTCTTAACGCAGCAATGTCCTTTCCAGTTACTGCTACCAAGTTACTGTATCTGAAAATCCTTTGCAAACTCCACTTGCTCAGGTAATCTCTTAGTTTGCTGAGGGAGAGGTGTGGTGTGGTTTTTTTCTTTCCTTTTTTTTTTTTTTTCAGGGGAAGGATTGCTTTGCGTTACGCTTCACAAACCCTCCTCAAGCTGATGTAACGAGGCCCCAGACTGTCTGCACGGCCCGGCCACTTTTGTTTACACGTGTGAAACCTGCAACAAATTTGGATTCCAGATTAGCCCCGTCCCTTTCCTCCCCCTCTGCCTCCCAGCTGCAGAAGGGCGGCCGCAAACTACAGCCGTGTGCTCCTGGCAGCGCTGGCATCGTCACCGCAGGGACCTTCCCCGTAAAAAAAAATAAGTCTGGAGATTTTGTAGGGAGCCCGTTTTTTTGGTGGAGCAGGAGGTGAAATCTGGGCCTGCTGGGCGGCGTATGGAAATATGAACCTGCTAAGTTCCTAACACTGTTTTAGAATAAGGTGTGTTGTTTTTTTTTTTGTTGTTTCATTCTGGTTTTGTTTATTTTTATAAGTTTAATATTAGCTAGAACTCCAGTAGGTCCCTTCCTTTTTTTATTTCTCTTTTCTATTTTTCACCAAGTCTTGCCCATCTCAACTGCTTTCCTGAGGCTCTTTTTTGTTTATCCTACACGATTTCCTTCCTTCCTTCAAGCCCAGACCCCTGTGCTCCCCTGGGGCTTCCTATGATAGCTAGGCACTAATCATGTACTTCTGCCCCAGAAGCACAGATAGAGGCTTCCTCCCCCTGCTTCCAGTCAAAGGAGGATGTAAGGCATAATGGTAATCTTAAACAACACTGCTATTCATTGTTTGGGAGATCTGGGAAATATCCTTGAATTCAGCTTGCTAAATTAGCTGCTTCTTGAGTAACCCACAGCTGCTGCGTATCTGTCCCATTACATTTTACAAAAATGCAGCAGTTCTCATTACACACGGTATTCTCCCGACATATGGACCTTCCATTAGTTTCTGTCTCTGTGCAGCTCTGTTGCCATGAATGTATACACAGAAACATTTTCTTTTGTACTTAAAAAAATATAATATATATATATTAAAAAAAAAAAAATTAAACCCAACAATTCTTGAAAATAGATTAAAGACAGGCACTCGCAATTATTCAGATGGAGGAAAGATGTTGCAGTGCCTCGGAGTACAGGCTCTGTCGGGAGCCAATACTTAGATTAAAATGTTGCTTCTGGCAGTAAAAGTGTAACTACCAGTGGTTTTTAGGCTTCATCCTGCCTGGTGTGCACATGAGCCTCTGCCTTGAAGTTGGCAGGCGTCTTCTTGTGCGTGCAGATACTGGGAGTCAGATGGACCCTCGGTGTAAGGTGATGCTCAGCCATCTCGCTGAGGTTCCTCAGGAGACAGCGACACGATTTTTTGGATTTGGTCTCGTGTGTTTTCTCCTTCACAGCGGTTCGCAGAGGAATTCGGTTTGAAAGCAAATGGATTCCTGGTGTTAGTGGATTTACGCTCCCTACCCCTTCAACAACTTCTCCAGCATGAGCGGGAAACTCGAACAAGCCTTGGGGAGGAAGGTTTTTCTCGTGTGCTTTTCCAGGCTTTGCTTCTCAAAGCGCAGCCACGTCCTCGAGGAAAACCCAGCCCTCCATCTTTGTGCTCGCTGTGAGACAGCTGCTTCCAGCGGGCTGCAATCCACGATGCATCAATTACTTGAAATAAAAATGCGAGGCTGGGACAAGTCAAATGAAGGCTTCCTTAGACCCCTAGAGAGGATCGACACCTCTCTTACCCTGTCCAGGACTTGGTTCATTTCCCTCAAAAGGGGTCCGGCCAGGGACACTGCGTGTTTGCAGACTGACTGTTGGCACTTCACCACATCCTCTGAGGAGCATCCTCGGGCTGTGCTTGAGCAATTGGTCACCAGCAAAGGCGAGCAAAGCTGTTTGTGACGGTGGGCCTTGCTGTGGTCTCTCTGTTTTCCCTATTTCCCTCTCTGCCACTCTGATTATTTATTTTTCTTCCCCTGGGTTGGGTTTTCCCTATTCCATTTTCTCTTGCCATGAGCTGAGGACTTGCTGCTCTAAGGCCGGGGCTCTGAATATCTCAGTCTTTGGGATGTTGCTTGATCCTGCCTGCTTCAGGGCTGTGATTTCAGGGCTTCCAAGTATCATTCACAAGGAAAAACATGCAATTAACGCTCCTCTGGTTCTGGTTTGTAACTCTTCCCCCCTTTTAGAACCCAACTGCAAGCACACATCCTCAAACCTCTCTGAGGACACCCGCCTATCTGCAGGTTTGGTTGGCACTGCTCCTGTATCCCAGCCTTCTGCAACAGCCCTGCGTGTCCAGCACCTGCGTGGTGCCCTGTGCCGGGAGGCAGGGAGGTGCCTAATCCTGATGAGGCTGGCAGGAGATGGCTCCTTCCCCCTCGGATGTGCCGGCAGGATCCCTTTCCTTCTCACAAAACAGAGGAAGAGCGTTCAGGTTTCCTTTCAGTGGCCTCTAAATTATTTGTCCAGAGCCCAGAAGTGTCTCTTCCTGGGCTTAGCGAGGCTCGTTCCTTTAGAAGTCATCGCCGATTGTGTTCGTATTTGTGCATAAATGAATATTAATGGTGAATGTGGTCTGACTACTGGGCCCATTTCCTCCCACAGCTGTTTTGATGTGAGACCTGATCCAAAAACATCTTGTGCGCACATCTTGCAGCCTGGCTCTGCAGGCGAGCTCGATGGGGAATGCTTTGCTGCCGGGGCCTGTTGTGGTTTAGGCATGGACAAAGCACATAGCTGCTGAGTGCTGTCAGGGCCTCAGCACTCCTGCATTTGCCTCGCAGCAGACATTTCGGTACCCAGGGAACTTGTGTTTTAACCGGAAAAAAAGCTCGTGTGCCAAAGGCCTCCCGATGCAAGCGAGGCTGCAGCTGAGAAGTTCGGGGGGCTGAATATTGGGGTTTGCTGCTCCAGCTGGTATTTGGGTGGCATTTAGGGCTGCAGCTTGCAGCCTGAGCACCAGAACCTGAAGGCAAGCACTGAAATACCTGAGTTACGGCGCTTGTGTTTTATTTGGACGTGGTTCTGTGCATTTCTCCAGCTATCCTTCTGTGGGTTTATTGCAGAGATGGCTGGGACTGAGCCGGGGACTCCCGTAGGAAAAGCTGGTCTGAGACAACAGGTTCTGAGAACAAACACCAAGCCATATTCCCCACAAACCATATTTTAACCATTAGGCAAGCTTCTCCTTACAGATTCCGGATAATAGATGTATTTAAGTAGGGAAAGGGATTCGCTGGATGACTCGCCTGTCCAAACTAATCACTAGCCACAGTTTTGATGCAAAAGCCTCGCTCGTAACTGCTTGCAAGCAGCCTGCAGCAGACGTGTGCTCCCCGAAAGTCTTGGGCGAGTAACTTTGGCCTCGTGCACTTGGGAAGGCTGCTCGCAGACGATGCCTGTGCAGACCCATGGTGGCGAGAGGGGGCCTAACTCAGAGCGCTCTGCAGGCAGCAGGAAGGTTCCCACTGCCTGAAATTAGTCACAAATGATCTGCCTGGCTCTCGGGTTTAATCACATGATCCAATTACAACTTAATCCCATCAATAGGAAATAAATGTTCCCACCTTCGGTTATTCTCGCCGCGTGGAAAGCTGCTCGGCAGCGCACGGCCCCGTGCCTGTCAGTGAGGCCGTATTTTGTGTTCCTGCTGCAAAAGGGGGTAGATGCAGGGTGGCTGGAGAAACACACGGCTTGAAAAACCCTTCTTTTGGCCTAAAGCGGGAGCAGCCTAGAGAGGTACTGTCACAGATCCAAGCAGGCTGGGGTTAAACGGTTTCCTCAGCTTTTCTCCCTAAATCAATTTGAATATTCTTGGCAGGCTCTGTTACTATGCATGGTGGGCAGCTGTGATTCAAGCAGGGATTTTTTTTTTCCCCTTTCTACTGTCCCAGTCTTCCTGTCTTGTGCAGATGTGATCCTTTCCCTCTGTCTGCCTAACAGCTAATTATTTTACCAGACGAGCCAATAGTCTGAAGAAAACAGACCATGCATATTCTTGAAAGCAACAACTGTGTTACAATGTCAGGGGGGGATGGGGAAGAAAAAAAAAAGAAAAAAAAAG